CCCAACCGTCCTCCCGCCGGATAATACCATTTGCCTCGGCGCACGCGCATTACTTCAAAACCCATTCGCTTATATATACCTCATTCGCTCGGTTTTAGAGGGCACCACACACACTCGTTCCATCTTTTATTCATTCCGACAGAGTGGAGCCTTAATTTGAATTGAATAGGATTTATAAATTATTTTAAATTATAGTTTGCGACGCATGACCAAGCGGGGGAATGAGCTACTGAAGATTTTGTGTTTGTGTACCCCTTGACGGTGGGGGTACACGAGATGAGGCATCACGAAGTTGCAATCATCCGTCGGCAGGTGCATCCTAGGGGGAAGAGGAGAGATTGCACAGCCGGAAGTGTATTTTTATTGTCTCGGTATTTTTTTTTTTTTATTTGGTTTTATCTCCGCGCTTTTCACGGTGAAACCAGAGGGAGATAGAAATATTGCAAAGGGGTGCCGATGGAAAAATTGTCCATGTCGTGACTTCGTTTAGGTTCCATTTTATTCCCACGAGGGGAGGACTGAATGAATCTCAGTTCATAAGAAAGACTTGGGTATGAATTACAGATTGACTGGAGCTTTTTGCGGCTTTCCTGCATACGATGATTTCTCATTTTCATCTCAACAGAAAAGAAAAATTTCTCCTAGAATTTTTTGTTTATAAAAATTGTTGAAATTTCTCTTGAAGTCCGGAAATTGGGAGTAATGTAATGAATGAAATGGAAAGTACCTGTGGCTTTTTTGTTGACGATTTTTTTGGAATTGGCGAGGATCGAGGTAAACAATGAGTCAATGGATTAATTCTCTCGCAAACAGGTTGGTAAATACTGTGAGGCGGATGTGACTGGGTGCATGGTAAATAAAGGAGCCTCCATTTATTAAGCTGAGCAATAAAATAACGTTACCCGCGAATCTCCGTGGGTGGAACGTATCCCCAACAGATAGAGAGAGAGAGATCTGGTGAACGGACAGGCCTGATTTATGCGAAAATCGAGGGACGCTCTGCGCTCCAACTCCATACATAACATTCAGCATGTATTTGCACCTACAAGTTCTCGCAAATTAAATTATTAAATTGTACAATGAAATTTATTCGTTTATTCTCGTGATTTTTACGTCTCGTAGACGGCGGTGCAAAATCCTGGGAAATTGTGGGGGCAAGGTAGCTACTAGGCCTGGGACTGAACTCGCGGTTATATTGATTGCAGCACTTATCGTTGACATGTGTCGCGATACTTATCGTGCATTATACGCATACCGTGTATTTTAGTGTTGGTCTGGGGTCTTCTCCACATTGGCCTCACGCCGCGAACAGTCTTGCCTCAGGGTTCCCCTAATGTCACCTACTGAGAAGAAAAAAAAATTGGAATAATAGAAATTCCATTCAAGGTTCGACCAGCTCTAGTGATTTTTTTTTGCACTCAAAAATTGATTTCAATTTGATAAAGTGTTCCAAAAGTCCTAAAACCGCAATTTATCTTCGATAAATAAATACGAGTGCGCACATGGAGAGAAATATTTTGTAAAAATTACGGAACTTTTAGGTGACTTACCGATTATGGAGTCGATTCGAAGAATTTAAGTGACGGTATCGTAATTTTTCACTGATAATTCAGATTAAAATTACGGAACACCACATAAAAATTCCGCGACTTAAGATAAAAATTACGTGACAGTATTATAAAATGCCCGGCAACCACATTTCACTGCAGAATTACGGAAAATACACGGGAAAATATATTTTTATTGAATATTTCTCTCAGTGCATATTCAATTTTTTCCATCCTGATTCAATAACAATTTACCCAAAATAAAACGAAAACGACCAGTTGACTCTTCAGTATTGTGTACCCTCGAGTAGAAAATTTCCAACAAAAGTGTTGAGAAGGAAAAAAAAAGGATGTATAAATGTGAGATAATGAAAAGGGAAGGAATAAGTTTACTGGAGGGCGAACTAGGAGGAATACAAGAGTTTGGTAGCCAGGAGAGAGGCGCACCGCCAATTAGCTCGAAATAATGAACGTGTTTCGGCTCCTTTTGTTTCTTGGTCGTTTCGCCCCAGAGCCAAAGAGGGATGCTACCTCCTGGTTTTATATATAACCCGACTTTCTCAAACCTCACGACGTCACAATGGTGGAAGCCTCCCGGTGTTTTCCAGTGTGCGCCAGAACCAAGGGGATTTCACCTGCGACCTCCCCAGCATTCACCAATGAATCCTTAAAGTCCTCATACCCCCTCCCCCTCACCCCACTCCGGAAATTGCGATTCCAACACACCATG